TCAAATTAAAAGCTCAATTTGGGCTTTAAGCTTGAGATTTCTATTAGGTAATTATAGGATTACCTGCTTGCTTACGGAGTTTTTGACTACTTGGATTTCTCCTTCCTATATCCTGATGGCTAAATGGATACCTGTTCCCAAAGCCTTCCATAATTAGAAATAAATCTGTGGCCCTATCCAGTCCTCAGGTTTTTTTTTTTTTTTTCCCCTGGACTTTCCTGGCCATTTGTTTTCAGAGTAGTCTTTGTTGTTTTCACTTTTCCAAGCTCCGTTCTGCCTGGTGCTGGTTTTCTGTCCCCAGAGTGAGCTCAGATCCTGTGTTTCTGTAGTCACAAAATATCTTGGGACTATGCAAATCATGTCTATACAGATGAAGCTGCTGGGAATAGACAAATCATTTTTTCAAATGAAACAAGATCTTGGAAACTTGTCTTGTGTACTCGTCTTCTTTTGTCCATTCAGTGACTTGAACCAGTCGCAGGCTCGGTGAGCTCGGAGTGTGGCCGGAGGCCAGGGTGACGGGAGTAATTGGGTGCTGTTCTCTGAGGGCGCACTGAGGAGTGGGGCCCCGAGCTCTTGGCTCCTCAGGGCCGGAGACTGGGAGGCCACCATCTTCATTCCTGTCCTCCGGAACTCTCTAAACAGCAAAAGATTTTGTTGTGCTTTGTGATACAAGGTGAAAATCCTTTATTTTAATAATTGAATTTATCCCATTTATGTTTTTTGGTATGAGTTTGTTCTTAGATCTGTCACATTACAGATGGTCTTTGATTTACAATGGTTAGGCTTAATGGTTTTTTTAATTAAAGATGTTGCAAAAGTGATACACATTCAGTAGAAATCATACTTAAGATTTTCTTGTCTGGGCTGGTGATTTGTGGTCCGATCCTCTCTCAAAGCTGGGCAGAGGCATGAGGCACAGATCTGCGTCAGTCGCATGATCATAAAGATCAACAACCAACATACTTACAACTGCTCTGTACCCCTACAACCATCCTGTTTTTCACTTTCAGTATAGTATTCTATCAATCACGTGGATATTCAACACTTTCTTATAAAATAGGCTTTGTGAAAGATGATTTTGCCCAGTTGTATGTAAATGGAATTTTTCTAAGCATGTTAAGGTTGGCTGGGCTAAACTGCGATTTTTGGGAGGTTAGGTGCATTGAATACATTTTCAACCTACATTACTTTCAATTTATGATGGGTTTATTGGGATGTAGCACTATAGTAAGTTGTAGAAGGTCTGTATTTTTTTTTAAGTTTTTATTTAAATTCCAGCTAGTTAACATACAGTGTAATATTAGTTTCAGGTACACAATGTAGTGATTCAACACTTCCATAACAAGCTCATCATAACAAGTGCCCTCCTTAATCCCCATCACCTATCTGGCCCTTCCCCCCACCCACCTCCCTTCTGGTAACCGTCTGTCCGTTCCCTGTGATTAAGAGTCTGTATCTTGGTTTGCCTCTTTCTCTTTTTTCCCCCCTTCACTTATTTGTTTTGTTTCTTAAATTCTACATATGACTAAAATCATATGGTATTTGTCTTTCTCTGGCTGATTTATTTTGTTTAGCATAATACTGTCTAGTTCCATCCATGTTGTTGCAAATGGCAAGATTTCATTCTTTTTATGGCTGAGTAATATTCCACATATACGTGGAATGTATCTGTGTATATGTGCATATATACACATATATACACATGCATTTATATACATATACATATACATATACATATACATGCATAAATATACATACATATACACACACATACATACACACCACCTCTTCTTTATCAATTCATCAGCCAGTGGAGATATGGTACATACATATACATATATATACACACACTCCACCTCTTCTTTATGAATTCATTAGCTAGTGGACATATGGGCTGTTTCCATAATTTGTCTATTATGGGTTTTTGTCTAGAAATGCTGCTGTAAACATTAGGGTGCATGTATCCCTTTGAATCAGCATTTTTATATTTTGGGGTAAATACCTAGTATTGTGATTGCTGGATTGTAGGTAGTTCTATTTTTAACTTTTTTGAGGAAACTCCATACTATTTTCTAGAGTGGCTGCCTCAATTTGCATTCTCACCAACAATGGCAAGAGTGTTCCACTTTCTCCACATCCTGGCCAACAGCTATTGATTTTAGCCATTCTGACAGGTGTGAGGTGATAGCCCATTGTAAGTTTGATTTGCATTTCCCTGATGATAGTGATGCTGAACAACTTTTCATGTGTCTGTTGGCCATTGGCATATCTTCATTTGCCTTTTCACATCTTTCGCCCATTTTTAATTGGATTATTCATTTTGGGTGTATTAAGTTTTATACATTCTTTATGTATTTTGGATACTAACCCTTTATCAGACATGTCATTTGCAAATATCTTCTGTAGATTGGTTTTTAGTTTTGTTGATTGTTTCTTTGCTCTGCAGAAGCTTTTTATTTTGATATAGGTCAAGTACGGAATTTTTGTGGTTTTGTTTCCCTTGTCTCAGGAGACATATCAAGAAATAAGTTGCTATTGCCAATGTCCAAGAAATTACTACTGTGTTCTTTTCTAGGACTTTTATGTTTTCAAGTCTCACACTTAAGTCTTTAATTTTTCATTTATTTTTGTGTATAAGAAAGTGGTCTAGTTTCATTCTTATGCATGTTGCCGTCCAGTTTTCTCAATACCATTTGTTGAAGAGACATTTCTTTTCCCATTGGATATTCTGTCCTGCTTTTTTGAAGATTAATTGACCATATAATTGTGTGTTCATTTCTGGGTTTTCTATTGTTCCATTTATCTGTGTGTCTATTTTGTGTCAGTACTGAACTGTTTTGATCACTACGGCTTTGTAATATAACTTGAAGTCTGAAATTGTGATGCCTCCAGCTTTGTTTTTCTTTTTTAAGATTGCTTTGCCTATTCAGGGTCTTTTATGGTTCCATACAAATTTTAGGATTGTTCTAGCTCTGTGAAAAATGCTGTTGGTATTTTGATAGGGATTGCATTAAATGTGTAGGTTGCCTTGAGTAGTATAGACATTCTAACAATATGTGTTAGAAGGTCTATATTTTGCTCTCTGAATACAGTATTTTAAAATCTTTCAGTATAAGGTCTGTTTGTTTTCTTCTTGGGTTGGGAGAACAGGGTGAGAAGTAGAGGTGAGAGGAAAGGAGGGAAGAGGAAGAGAAGAGAAGATTTCAAGAGAAGGGAAGAGAAACAAGTTGTGATACATAAGAGGAATTATAATATTGTTTTAATGATTATAATTATCAGACAAAACCCTGAATCATCTGCTTTTTAAACTGTTTTGAACAATAATTAAATTCATATGTATTTTCTTCCCTTCTGTCTCTTCTCCACTTCCTACTTTACTAAGTAATATTATCTTGATTAGTTTTTATTTTGGGCTCTTAAAAATGTATGTTCTATTATTTGAGTCTTTAAATTCTCTTCCCTGTGTCCTTGATTCTATAGATAAAGCCATCACTGAGCTTCCAAATGACATCTTTACCCTTTCCTATTCCCAGTGTTTGCCAGTTGTATTATTTCTACATTGTCAGAGCATACGACACTTACATTCTATTTTGTTACTCCAATCCCCACTTCACATTTACTTTTAGATCCAACCTAAATATAATTAAGGCTTACAGTCACACTCTTGGCTAAAGTTTTTGCAGTTGAGTCTCAGTTGGATGAAGTTCATTTTCTGGTTGTTTCCTCAAGAAAGGTTCGTGGAAACAATACTTTCTGAGTTTTTGCATATTTAAATGGTTTGCAATAGGCTTTATAATTCTCGAACAGCTTGGATGATAGAAAATTCTTGGTTTGCACTTTCCTTAAATATCTTCTGAGTGTTTCTCCATTCTCTCTATTTTGTATAGAGATTTTATTTATTTATTTATTTGAGAGAGAGATAGAGAGAGCACAAACAAAGGGAGGGGCAGAGGGAGATAATCTCCAGGAGACTCACGCCGAGTGCAGAGCCTTGTGGGGCTCAATCTGAGGACCCTGAAATCATGACCTAAGCTGAAACCGAGAGTCAGATGCTTAACCAGCTGAGACCCCCAGGCACCCCTCTCCATTCTTTTCTAATGTTAAATACTATTGGGTGAAGTCTGAGTTCCATCTGTTTTTTTTTTTCCCCTCTTTGTAAGTAACTTGATTTTTTTATGCTTTACAAAGGATACTCTCCTTAAGTCAATAATTAGACTAGGCTATGTCTCATACGGTGACTATCCTGGATCAGGTTTCCCTGGGAAGTGGTGTGGACATCCAATAAGTAGATTGAAGTCTTGTTTCATTTTAAGAACTGCTTTGAATTATATTTTAAAATATTTGTTACCTTGTATCATTTGGTTTCTTCAGGGACCCCAGTTTTGCATATGTTGGCTTTCTTTTAACTTTCTGCTATCACTGTCCTGTCCCCTTTAATTGTCTTAAACTTCCATCTCTATGTCATGTAGTTGCATTTCATATTTCTACCCTTTGATTCCCACACAGCATCCACTGCCGGATGTCGCTCCTTTTGAGCCCCAACCAATTTTGTCTTCAGTCATGTGAAGATGGCTTTATTTTTTTCTATCTTTCCTGATTCTTCTACTCCTATCTCATCACCTCTCCCTGCTTTGTCTTCTTGTATTTGAGTTCTGACATTTGTGCTTTGTGGTTTCCCTCTAGAGATCGCATTGTTTTGCTAAGGTTTTTTTGGTTGTGCTTTGTCTCTAATTCACGGAGGAATGTTTGATCATAATTTCATCTTTTCCAGGCAGTTTTCTGGTGCATGTTCTTCTGTTGACAGAATTTGCTGTTCTTTGCATCTTACAGCATGCTTGCGTGGAAGGTATTTTATTTTCTTTTTTGTTACTTATAGAGTATATGGGTGGGACTTTCTCAAAAAAAGCTTTCTGCAGGAGGCTCTAAATAAGGGTGGGGCAGGAGCAGCTTTCTAAAATTCTTGATCCCAAAGGACCTTTCTCTTTCTGTTTCCACAGAGACGGACTGCTTCCTGAAAATAGTGTGATTCTTTATAGAACTCTGCCTCCTGGACTTCTCTGAATCAAGCTGGGTTCACAGGGCTTCTGTGGCCAACCCTTGAACCTCTAGTTCCTTCACCAGACAGTGCGACAAGGGGCAGGTGAGCAGATCACCTTCAAGAAGTGCAATTTTTTTTTTTTTTTTTGCATTTTCTAAGCCCCGCTGCCACTGACCCCTAGACACACCTGTATTTCTTCCTGTGAGGGTTCTCCTCCTGACAACGCTTACATATGTTTTGGAGTCTATAGCATATGAAACTCCTTGAAGCTATGATCCCCATGAGGAGAAGGAAGCACTACCACTACGCTCATTGCCACGTCGGATAATTTGGAGGAATTAATACTAAGCTTCTGCGCTGTCCTCCGAAAGACTTTCAGCAGTGTGCAGTTGGAGGCATGATGGAGGTACATTCTTCCTGAATCAATTTCCATCCCCCTCTCTGGCCCCTGTGTGACTGTTCCAGCAGGAAATATGGCAATAGACATTAGTCAAGCAAACTAGAGAGCACATGTCAACCAAAAACATGCTATGTCAACTAAGGGGAAAACACGCACACACACATGTGCAAAATGTACATGTACACACACACTTTGTAGGCCAAATAAAGCATATCTGAAGGCTCCTGGTGCACCACCTCCACTCCAAATCAGCTCTAGGGTCCTTCTCTGGTGCCTTATAGTAAGGATCCCCATCACAACTGCTTATTACCTTGGTGGATTTTCCAGCCCTCCACCAATCCCTAAGGCTATTCCTGATGGTGACTTCATTTGTGTCACACGTGTTTATGGAGACGCCTTGTTTTTTTGCCTGTATCCTACAACCCCACTTTTTGCCCTGTTCCAATCTGATCTCTTTGCCTTTAATAGGTACCTCCTTACCATGTACAGCCTTAACCCAATGCAGATCTGTGCAGGCTGGAATTGTCCTAGACTTGTGCAATATGCCAGGGACTCTAGTTGATTTCAGAATTCGATTTTGATATCCACAACCCCTCAGTTTCCATGCTTGCACCCGAAGTGTGGCAGCAGCTGGGTGGGGCAGCCCTATGTGGAGAGGTGAGCAGAAAGGAGAAGACAGGAACACCATTGTGACCAGCAACTTGGGTGGGCCTAAAGGGAAGCTGAGGATAGGCCCCAGAGCGGAGACCTATGCCCTAGCATATCACCTGGGGCTCTCTGCGGAGAGTTCTGGGCTGCTGTGAAACTCCAACTGCTCTGGAACAAAGTTGAAATGTTGTTGGAGAGCAGCCTTGGCAGGGGTAGGGGCCAAGTGTTCTGGACACTTACCAGAAATAAACAGACTGCAATGAAATAGATCAAGAATCCTTTCCAATTAGGACAGTTGTGTGGGTTTAAAAAAAAAAAAATTCTGAAGTAAGAAAGGGAACAAAATGCAAAAATCTGTTCTTTTCTTCCAAAAGACTTTAAGTAGCAAATAAGCAAGGTGTCAGGACTGGGAAAGCCTTCTGTCTAGGCTCTGAGTAAATGAACTTGCTTTTTGGTAAAGAGCTTGAGTTAAAATTAAACAGATACATATGCATAGCTTGCAATAGAATGATCCTGCATGTATCGCCTTAAAAAGAAATCTGAACATTTTTCTGAGTAGGGCAAGCAAAGAGAATCAGGCAACAGTCCCTCCTCCAGAAATCCATAAACAGCCCCTCTCCTTCTACAGCAGAGGAAATTCGTCAGAGCAGCCCACCAAATGTCCTCGTGTTCTGAAAATAGATGGCACAGGTCTTTCTCTGGGCACTTCAGGACAAGGGCACAGGGGGTGTCCTTAGTGACAAAGGCAAAATCCATATTAAAGACTGCCAGCCCCACCTCCACAGCCACCCCCCCCCACACACAATGAGGTCTTCAAAGTCTGCGGAAATATCTTCAGTCCCTACACCAATTATCTACGTTGGCCCGTTTTTATGTACATTTGAATCCAGTTTCAAATTCCAATTTAGATTCTGTAATCTCAAGACCTAGAATAGTGCTTGGCTCGAGGTGGTGCTCAATATATATCTGGCGGCAGGATGAATGTCATGCCTTGCTATTGCTTCTAGTCTTTTAACTTCCTTCCATCTCCTAATTTCAACAGGAACTGACTCTTTGAAAAGCCTGCCCCAAAAGGTCATATTTTTTTCCATGTAGTTTCCATACACTTTTCCCCCCCATTTTTGCCACCTCGAAGAAGGCTGTCAGCAACCTTAAGGAGGCCTCATGGGAGTGACAGGATAACACTCCCAACTCTTCCCTCTATCAGAAAAACAACTGTATCAAGTTTACTCAAGGGACATTGGCAGATATTAGAAACAGCCCGACCAATGTGGATTTAGGAAGACGTCACTTTTACAATGGATTCAACATAGAGGGCAAACTATTTAGAAAGTGCTGAGGAGGGAGATTGTCGGCTCCTGACCTGTGGCAAGACATGGAGAGTGGGCCACACCATGTGATTTTTTACTTTTACACACTCACTTTCTCATGACCAGATGCTCATTCACTGCTTCTCCAAACAGACCACTTGAACATCACTGTAGGGTCTGGATTGACTGAGCCCAGGGAAGGGAGGTGCTGTGCTGAGGAAGAAGGGAGGGGCCCCAGGGCTGCTGGTATGGAACATAGCTACTTTGTCCCTTGGCATTGCCATGGAATTGGATTTTTCCATAGCAACACAGTCAGGCCCCAAAGAACCTTGCTACCCTAGGATCAGCTGATTGACGCAAGGACTCTCAGTGCCATATGCATATCTTCTGTCCTTCAGCAGCCCCATCCCTGTCCCCACAACCCTCCCCCACCCAGCACAGTGGCTGCATCCTTGGGTATGTGGCATTTTTGTCAGTGGAAACACCTGCCAGGAATCATAGGCACGGGATAGCTGCCTTCCCAGCTCTCGCCCTCTCAAGAGAGCAGTTTAACTCATTTACACTTTCCTTCTGTGTTCCAGCAATTATTTTTCCTTCTCCTGATACCCTCTTCATCACCTCCTTGCCACTTGTTCAGCAGTGGTTCATGGGATGGATTTCAACTGAAACCTTTGGTAAATAATGGGAAGCTCTGCAGCTACTAGGAGTTGCTTTCCCAGCTGGTTGCGGAAAACTAGAGACAAACTTTTTACTGCCTGAGCCACTGCAGTCCCTCGTGCAGAAATCTTGGGAAGCAGTGTTAACTCTTGTCCCAGAGTAGTAGTTAGGAGCTGAGTGAGATGCTGTTGGATAACACTAAACGTATGCTTGTCCTGCCACTCTGTTCCCCAGAGAGAGCTCCCCAAACCCTTGTAAATGTCTAAGTGATAGGAACACTAGGAGTGTGTTTTGTTCTTCTGAGATGACTCTGGGTGGGCTCCTGGATGGGGGCTGGTCACCAGAAAGATCAAGCCATGATTAGAAGCTTGGACTTTTCGGCCCCACCCCCGAACTTTCAGAAAGGGAAGAAGGGCTATAAATACAGCTAATATTGATCATGCCTACATGAGGAAGCCTCTAGAAAATCCTAATATTAGGAGGTTCAGAGAGCCTCCAGGTGAATGGACATACCCACACCAGGAGGATGACACATCCATATCCATGGGGATAGAAGCACTATGCGTGGGACACTTCCAGACCTGACCCTATGTACCTCTTCAACTGGCTGTACAGCTATATACTTTATTACATCCTTTAAATAAGCTGGCAGATACAAGTGAGTGTTTTCCTGAGCTCTGTGAGCAAATTAATCAAGTCTGAGGAAGGGCCATGGGAACCCCCAATTTGTAGCCAAATAGGATGGAAGTTGTGGGTAACCTGGGGACATATTACTTGCATTTGGCATCTGAAACACAGTGGGAACAGTCTTGTGGGATTGAGCTCTTAATCTGCAGGATGTGATGCTACCTCCACATAAATAATGTCAGAATTGTACCAGTCACATTGTAGGATCCCCTGCTGGTGTCCCAGAGAATTGCTTGATGTGCAGGAAAACCCCTGCACATCTGGCATCAGCGGTGTTGTGAGTGCTCTGCGTGAGTAGTAAAGGAGACACACAGGAAAGAGAAACACAGAAGGAGGTGGAGGACTGGGTTTTCCCCTACCTAGGAGACTGAACTGAGTTTTGCCTTTAGAGACATATTTGTCATTTGCATCATGATGTATTCATTTCAGAGAGCTCTGCCAGTGATGTTCAAAGGACTTGATTAATTTTGACCAAGTTTGGTATTTGCTTTATGTTCCATTAAATCTCCTGCCTTGAAAGAAATGTTCTTAGTTAGGAAACTACAAAAGGGATTTTCAGTGGATTTCAGTGCATTTTAGTGATATTACTAAGGCAAGAGCTGTGGTTCACAGAAACCACATGCTGCATATAAAGCGGTTATTTCCATTACTAAGATCCCAGTGTTCTCACTGGAAGGCCACTCAAGCCTTACCATGATGGGGACACTGGGCACCATTTAGCCCTCAAAGATGAAGCATCTAAACTTTTATTAACCAGACCCCTTCTTGTGAAAGCACAAATCTCACACTGTTCCCACCTCACTCTCAAGTCCTGAAAGGTCCCATCTGAAAATCACTGTATCTTTTGCATGTTTCCTTTGGCCAAAAAATTACTGTTGAACTTTACTTTGGATAGTTGTACTGCAAAACAAAAACTAATATCTTTTTCTCACTTTATAATGCTAAATGTTTCTGTATTGTTAAATATGCTTTTTTTTTTCCCTATTGCATGTGACTCCCTGATTGGGAGTGACATATGTTGGTAGGTCCCACCTTCTAGATAATCATTGTTCTAAGAAATAACTTCCTGAAAGCAAACTGCTTAACGTTTTTATCATTGGTTTTACAAAACCTTAAGCCTAAGTTACCTCCACTTTCTGCAGGGAGAAAAGAGGGCGAGGAGACAGTACGGCTCCATATGGGGAAGTAGCCAAAACAGCTCCATCCAGAATTGCCTGGAACAATCAAATTGGGAAAATCATCAGCAAATTAGTTGTATCAGAGCAAGAGTAAGTTACCCACGGCCAGTGGTCACTGCAGCCTGTCCTACTGCTTCCTCCTGCCCGAGTTTCAATTTTGGAAAATATGCCCTTATTAATGTGTTCGTAACAACGTTTTCATTGTCATTGTTCCTCATGGACATTTGTAGGAATCAGCTGTTGCTGCATCACTAACTAATTCCAGACTCAGTGGCTTAAAACAATGTCTATTTAACTATTACTCACAGTTGAACTAATCATGTCTTTTCTGATGCTTGGACATCTTGGGAGCTTGCTGACCCTGGAGGGACTGCTCCTTCCCAGGTTAGCTATTTCCTAGAGAGAGAAAATGTCTCAGCCAGGATCACACCTTTCACATGCAAACTGACTAGTCCAGAGCCCACACCTTAACCTCCTCCTTCACCTCCCTGGCTTTCACACTTGGACCCCTTTCCACCACCCTAATCATGCCAGAGCCAGGATTAGACAACTAGGGACAGCCTTTATGCCCCAGAGCCTGCTAAAATTACCACATTTTTAAAAAAGATTTTATTTATTTATTTGACAGGCAGAGATCACAAGTAGGCAGAGAGGTAGGCAGAGAGAGGGAAAAGCAGGCTCCCTGCTGCGCAGAGAGCCCGAAGCGAAGCCGGGCTCAATCCCAGAACCCTGGGATCATGACCTGAGCCGAAGGCAGAGGCTTTAACCCACTGAGCCACCCAGGCGCCCCCAAATTACCACATTTTAAACAGCCCTGCTTTAAGTCTGCTTCACCTGTGTCAGCCAAATGGAAACCACAATAAAGGCTCTTGCTCGCTTTTCTCTCCTCTCCTCTGTATCCTGACAGACACTGGTGCATAATATGACCCATATTTAAATTTTTTTTTTTTTTTTTAGATTTTATTTATTTATTTGGCAGGCAGAGATCGCAAGCAGGCAGAGAGGCAGGCAAAGAGAGAGAGGGAGGAAGCAGGCTCCCCGCTGAGCAGAGATCTGGATGTGGGGCTCGATCCCAGGACCCTGAGATCATGACCTGAGCCGAAGACAGAGGCTTTAACCCACTGAGCCACCCAGGCGCCCCAAGACCCATATTTTAAAGGTACAGTCTACAAGTCAGCTAGGCAGCTCTTCTGGACTTAGAGATTCTGTGGTCACCTATGGATCCAGCAGGCAGCTCTGTTGGTCTTCATTTGTTTGGGGGCAGTCTGCTTTATAACTATAAACTTGTCAGATGTCCACGACTGGACAGTCGGGCTCTCCCTCCTGTGTGCTCTCATTCCCCTTCAGGTGGACCTGGGAGGGTCACAGGGTAGTGGCAGGATCCAGTAGAGTAGAAAGGGGCGGGACCTCTTCCAGCCTCCAATGGAAGGAACACACATCACTTTCCCCGCCCTCTATTGGCTGAAGCAAGTCACAGAGCAGCCCAGGTTTGCAGGGGAAAGAACTAGATTACCTTTTGATGGAAAGTACAGCAATGTCACATTGCAAGTGATATGGATACAAAGAACAGTGGAGAAATGGAGACATTTCCTAGCCTACCTCTACCACAACATTCTTCTGCTCAAAAGAGTAAATTATCTAAAACGTGTTTTTCCCCCATGGACATAATAAAGATATGTATATTTTAAATTTAAAAAAAAAAGTGGCCTGTGTCGATAGTTCACTATACTAGTAAGACTAGAATTCGATGGAATTCCAGTCTCTCAGCGGAATAACATAAACGTGAATAATGGGAACAAAATATGACACCTGGTCCCTTGTTAAAATGCAGATTCCTGGCCCCAGAAAATCTAATTCAGCAAAACCCAGGATAGGGTCCAAGGGTCTGCATGTTAGCAGTATCCTCGGGGGACTTTGTGCAGGTGATTCTAATAACCTCCCTTTGAAAAATATTGGTGTCCCACGTTCATAGCAGCATTATTTGCAACAGCCAAGACATGGAAACTACCTAAGTGTCCCTCGATAGATAGATAGAGAAGATGTGGTATATATGTACAATGGAATATTCTTCAACCATAAAACAAACAAACAAACAAAACCCACAAGGAAATCCTACCATTTCTGATAATATGGTTGGACCTAGAGGGCGTTGTGCTACATGACATATGTCAGAGAGACAAATACGGTATGATATCACTTTTATGCGGAATGTTAAAAAACAAAACAAAAAAAAAATCACAAAAAAATCAAACACATAGAAAACGAGATCAGACTTGTGGTTACGGGAGGTGAGGACCCGGGGGAGGGGGAATTGCAAGAAGGTGGTCAAAGGTGGTCAAAGGTACAAACTTCTAGGTATAAGATAAATAAGTACTAGGGATTCAATGTAGGACATGATGTAGCAAACACTGCTGTATGATATATAAGAAAGTTGTTAAGGGAGTTGATCCTCAGAGTTCTCATCATAATAGAAAAATGTTTTCCTTTCTTCTTCTTTTTCTTTTCATTGAATCTATATAAGAAGACAGATGTTAGCTAAACCTGTTGTGATAATCATTTCACAATATATGTCAATCAAACCATCCTGCTATAGGCCTTAAGTTTATACATGATATATGTCAATTATTTATCAATAAAACTGGAAAAGATATTTTATGCTGATATCAAAAAATCGTGTGTGTGTGTGTGTGTGTGTGTGTGTGTAGAGCAGTAACATTACCTCTGTTGTACAAAAAGGAAGCTAAGACTCACAAAGAAGTTTAATTTCAGAGCTGGGGTACTCAAGTCTCTTGACCCTTGACCTATAAGATGTGATCTGAGAAGCGCAAAGAGTCCCCATTCCCCTTAGAGCCACCCCCACCTTGGTCTTGCAGCAGTGCCCAAACCTCCTGTTAGTCACCCTTGGTCTCTGCTGCAGTATTAGCACGATCAATCTGCCCCTTCTAAATAAAGCCTGTAAGGGAGCTAGAATTACTCAGGCATTGGTGAAGTTGGAGGGGAGGGGAATGGATACAAACGTATTAAAACCTACTGGCCTTGGGCACCTGGGTGGCTCAGTGGGTTAAGCCTCTGCCTTCGGCCCAGGTCATGATCTCAGCGTCCTGGGATCGAGCCCCGCGTCAGGCTCTCTGCTCAGCAGGGAGCCTGCCTCCCCCTCTCTCTTTGCCTGTCTCTCTGCCTACTTGTGATTTCTCTCTCTGTGTGTGTCAAATAAATAAATGAAATCTTAAAAAAAAAAAAACCTACTGGCCTAAAAGTCTCACACTTTTACTTAAACTGATGTACTCTATTGGTTATTAACTCCTGGCTTAGTCCTGGGGGAGCTTTATTCATCCCTTGAGAAGCAAACAATGAAAAGGGAGGAAGAAGGAATAAAGAATGAGGAGGAAGAAGACCATTTCTGTGATCAATTTCTCTCTCTCCATAGGTGGCTTCCTAGTAGTCCAGTGGGTGATGACGATGACAACGACGATGATGGCAGTCATCACTGTGTCCATTTTACAGATGGAGAAACAAGGACTTACAGATGCTTACCCGCACCTCCTCGTGCAGACCTGGAGACCTCATTTAACAAAGAGCAACACCCATATTGCACTTTTCAGAACCCTGGGTGAGATATTGATGGTCTCCTCTGAAGGAAAAGTAAAGTAAGAAATTACCCCACTTTTAAGATAAATTAAGTCTTTAAGCTTGATGTGAAAAATGACACCTAGGATATACACCCAGCTGGGAATTTATGAGAGTACAGTCCCACCCCAATAGCCCTTAGATGAAGCAAAATGTTATTAGGACGCTAGGGATGAACCCTGTGCCAGTCCGTCCAGAATTTTAACCTCCAGTGTCCAGTCACACCACAGACAGATGAAGAAAGTAATCCTCATCAGTTTGCCATTGGTTCTGCCTCTGGGTTATCCCTCAGGACTCTGTGGTCACCTCAGATGGCATATCTGTCAGGTTCCCAAGAGAAACAGAACCAATAGGGTGTGTGTGTATGTGTGTGTGTGTGTATTATCATCTCTCTGTAGATGATGGATGGATGAATGGATGGATGGATAGTAGGGGAAAGAGAGATTTCAGAAATTGGCTCACACGATTGTGGGGGCTGGCCAAGTCCAAATTCTGCAGGGCAGTCTGGCTAGCTGGAGACCTAGGGGAAGAGCTGGTGTTGCTGTTTAAATTTGAAAGCTGTCATCTGGCAGAATTCCCTCTTCCTGGAGGACCTCCAGGACATCCAGGACTGGATGAGGTCCACACCCATTATGGAAGGTAATCTGCTTTACTCAGAGTCTACTGATGTGAATGATAATCTCATCTAAAAATGCCTTCACAGCAATATCTAGCTCCCTGTTTGTCCAAAAACTAGATACCATGGCCTAGCCAAGTTGACACATAAAATTAACAATCACAGCTGGGCAGGGAAGTACCCAGAAATGGGGGTGGTTATCTGTGTTTACAAACAGGCTTGTTGCTGAGCTAGACTTGATGGAAGGTAAACAGGACAGAGGTGCAGCCACAGTACTCCTGCTTCTGACCTCGGTCAGAGTCAGGGTCAGGAGTCAGTGTGGCCTCCTGGGGAGAGAGCTGATTCTTTCCAGATGCATTTGAGCAAACTGGCTTGTTGCTACAGGTATGAGAAGAGGTGGCTCTTCTGAGAGTTGTATTACTCCATGAAGCACATCCTGCCCCAGGCCCCACTTGTGTATGCCACACACCCCCATCCTCTCAATAACATTACTAGCACACAGGTAGGAGCACACACACCATCTTCCAGGGAGACCCACAAAGGGCCTTAGAGTGACCAGAGTTCTGGATTGATCTGCACCCACACACTCTGAGGGTTTTGCACTCAGTCAACTTGATCTCCCTGAGCCATCATCCTAGCAGTGTGACAGAAGAGCCGTGGCAAGTCCAACAGGCAAGACAAGCACTTTGAAACCATGGGAGATACTAGACCACTGCATAAAATAGGAAAGTGGTTCTCTCTGATGGGCTTCCATCACAAAGGCTCAAAGGCGGTTGGGGAACTGTAGAGGAAGCGGGGCTTTGGGAAGAGACTTGTTACTAGCAAGTCTGGGGAGAGGAAAAGAGGGAGTAGGTGAAGAGGGAGGGAGAGCTGTAGAGGAGAAGGGGAGCTACTGACCCAGAGCAGCAGAAAACTCTGGTCCTGGTCTCTAGAACAGGAGAAAGAATGAGCTGGAGATATGTCATTCAGAGCCTTGGTGATCGGGGCAGTATGAAGGTGGCCGCTTACCTGGGACCAACACAGAGGCACTAGACGTCATTAGCTGGATATTCCTGGTGAAAGTCATGTATTTTTAGCCTTGATTATCTGAATAACTTGCTTGAGTAGCTCTAACCTGAGGTAAAATTGGATTGGAAAAGAGAGAAAAGTAAAAACCTGGAGTGGGAACTCTGGACAGCAGGGCTGGGCTGGGGCAACATCAGAAGTTGGCAGCTGGTCTCAGGTGTCATTCTCTGGCCTTCCCCCAAACCCCTGTGCTCAGAGGCCCTTGTCTGCAGCTGACCTTCCCACTTGGTGTCCCTGAACCCTCCTCATCGAGGACCTATGGCAGACAGGCCAATGAAGCCTCACACAGTCCTACAAAATGATGAGGCTGTCTCACAGTCATTGTGCTTTGCCTTGCGCTCTCAGGAGGATTTAATACCTCTCATCTCACTTAGGAATTAAGAGTCGCACCCTCCAGGCCTGGAGGTATGACAGGCAAGCTAGTGATTCCATCCAGCCTCTAACTCAGTGGCCCATGATAGCTCCCTTTTTGCACTTTCTGACAAAATACTGAGCTGGTAAAACTCAGAGGACTTTAGTGCTGACCTTGTCTACACCCTTCATTGCATAAGAGAGGAAACTGAGGCCCAAGGAGACTATAAAAACTATGTAAAGTTGCACAACTTGTTGGTAGCAGGGTCAGGATTGGAACCCAGATGACTTTACTCCTAGTTTCACTAAGATTCGTCCTTGCTGAGAAGAGCTTATCCATTTATACTGTGGTGTTAGTGACTAATAATGGCTTAATCTTGCTGTCCTGGAGTATCTCAAGTTTTACTGAAAAAGGAAATTGTCAACTACTAGCCAAGTAGGGCATAAAAGGGTGAGTTAAAGGAGGTTAAAATTAGGATTAAAGGAAAACATTCTGGGTTCTCCTCAGTTCATACTACATAGGCTGTCAGCTCAGCTGTTTACTTAATAGGCTTGAATTGCATAATAATTCACCCACCATACCACCTTAGGGTCTGGCTGGAATGATACACTCTTATAATCCTTGATGTGGAAGGGAACTTGGACACCGTCTCATTATGGACTGGTAAGCACAGGGCACTCTGCCATGCATCTCCCTCCCACACCTTGCAAGACAAACTGATCTCTCCCAGATCCTTTACTCCTCTTTCCTCATCCCCATCACTGCTGAGAAGGGACCAGTTCTGAATCCTTTTCAACCAAGAGCTTGTACCAGTGGATTACAATCGATTAAGGCATTGATAATCAAAGTGTGATCTGTGGACCTGCAGCAGTGGCCTCATCCTGGAGCCACTTAGTGATGCATAACATCAGCCTCAGGCCAGAGCTACCAAATCAGAATCTGCCTTTTGATACATTTCTAGGCAATCCACATGCACACTGAGCTTTGAGAAGAATGGGATTTCTTCCCCTGCTAACACAGAGAGACTATGCTTAGAGTAGTGGAACACTCTTTAGAGGTGGAAGTTTAATGGGTGGAAAGGTCATGAGCCTGAAGCCAGACCCTCTGGGTTAACCCTTGTCACTATTATGTGACTTGGAGTAGGTCACATGAATGAGGCCATTAGACTGAACACTGTGGCCAAATTCATGTCTAATTCACCTCTGAACCCTGGTACCTAGAATGTGTAGGAGCTCAGTAAATGCTAAGGAAGAGAATTACCAGTGGGCTTTGGTTTCCTCCCTCACAACTGAAGGTGTACTAAAGAATGGCTTCCAGGCCTCACATCCATGTGACCACAATACACTGACTCATGTTCTGGCTTAACTAACATGAGACAAGTGGGTTAACAGAAAGCTAGCAGGAAGGGTGAGTTTCTGCCCATGAAAACTTCTTGTGAGTACAGATGCTAGGCTGGGAAGCTGTGGGTTAGGGACACTGGCCTTTCTACTGCTCTGCCCCAGAAACCTTGGTCAGGCCCAGGTAGCTTCCTGTGACCCTCTCTTCCTTGTTCCAGGTCTCCATTGCTTCTTTCAGCTTCTCCACCACACCCTAGACTCCCTGGCTTCTTCCTTCCTCTCCCCAAGCCTGGATATGTATAAGACAGTCTCCCCAGCACCTCACTTCTCTGCCACCCATTCCGTCAGGCATAAGAACACATTTCGGGGGGTTCACCACAGGCAAACTGAGACTGGGGGTTACACAAAGCCCATGGAGTTCCCATAATGCCCCCAGAGGCCTATAATCTCCAAGCCCCCTTTGCACTCCTCACCTCCTACCCTTTCCAGACTAAGGAGGCCATCTTGCTGGAATAGCCTTTTTATACTCAGATGATTTGCAGCACTCAGCTCACTAGCCCCCATCTGGAGGCCCAGTGAGCAGCCCCAGTCTTTGAAAATCTGCCTCTCAAGGGTAGCCGACAGAAATCCAAGAAAGGAGAAGAATGAGGAGGAAGAGGAGGAGGAAAGAGAAAAGGCAAGAGGAGAGGAAAGAAAAAGAAAGAGCCAGAAAAGAGATAAAGGCCCCTTAGCTATTTGAGGGTCTTACTCTAGCCTGAGGTAGTACCTGACATCTCCACAACATGTCCTACCCTCTTTGAGAAACCATCATTTGTTCTCCTCCATGGGCCTGGACTCAGCAGCCTCACCATCCCACCAGGATAGAGTCTCCCTAATGTTTTGGTAAATAAAATAAGGCTGCTGGCTTCCTGGGATTCTCAGGCAAACCAGTCACAGACTGACTTGATAGTAGGATATTTTACCTTATGCATGAGTTGGGTGCTTAAACCTGTATTTGAAAAGTGTTGTAATGCTTTCATTGTAAGGGAAAAAATGAGATATATAAGAATAGGCACTGCAAATACATGCTTGCAAAGTTATTCCCCAAGCAACCTGTTATATTCAAAGCATTTAGCAAATAAAGCAACCAATCAGAACAGATTCCTGGCCATAAACTTGCAGAACTGGGAAGGCTGCCCTGAAGGCTGGGTTCCTATCAGCCTGGCTGCTTCGGAACCCTTAGGTGTCATTTACATGCTAATTATCTTGACTGCCTGGTCTAAAAATCATCATTTCCAAGGCTGGAGCCACTCACTGAATGTGAAATGACCAAGAATTCTGAGCTGACAGAAGGCATGTGCAGTTACCCCGTTGAGCCAAAGACCTGTCTCCAGGACAATATTCTCTCATTGGCAATCCAGGGAACTGGACTGTTCCAACGTGGCTGGCTGATTTCTTAAGATATTCATTCAATTTTATTACTGTTA